CCCCCGGCGCGCCTGCGCCGCACGGCCCCGCGGGGCGGGACAGCCCGTGAGGCGCCCGCCAATCCGCGCCCTCCGCGGCGCTGAGCGACAGGAGGCTCCGCCAATGGGAGGCGGGTATTGCGCGGCCGCGGGGCGCGGGGCCCGCCCCCTCCTCTCTGCCGCGCACAGTGACAAGTGCAGCTGCCCAATCGGAAACGCGTACCTGGSTGAGGCGGGTCGATATGCGGCAGCTCTGGCCTATGAGCTTCCTCTGGAACGAGATTGACACGGCAGCTACCCAATGACCGAGAGAGCTGTACTGGAGGGGCGGGACAAGGMATAGTGATTGACAGCTCGGGTAACTATGGCAACGCAGGGGGGCGAAGGGAAGAACCGCAGTAGCCCCGGCTGGGCTGGCCGCGCGGAGGGCCTGATTTGAATATGATTTGCATATGCTGATAACGGTGCATATGGACATGGGGCGGGTCTGCCATCCACCATGGCGGGCTTGAACCCCACGGCCTGGAAGGGACCATAGACCATGTCGTTCCATCCYCTTCCATGGGCAGGGACATCTTCCACWAGYCCAGGTGGCTCCAAGCTCTGTCCAACTCGGCCTTGGACACTTCCAGGGATCCAGGGGCAGCCACAGCTTCTCTGGGCACCCTGTGCCAGGGCCTCMYCACCCTCACAGGGAATAATTCCTTCCTAAAATCTCAAAATCCTCAATGCTCCTTTACATCCCAACATAATCCTAGTGCAGATACATCATGTTCTTTAAAACCTGACCCCRCGTTTATCAACAACCACAGCAAGAAACAGGTGGCAGAAAAATTCAGGCAACCATGAAGAGTGGTGTAAGCAACAACCAGTAAGATGAAAATTCATAAGGAAAACGCAAATTCCCAGACTACAGGATGCCGTAACAGCTCCAGTTGTAGTGTGATAGAGATTCCCGTGTGGAATATTAATTGTTGTCTGCCACACCTAGAGCACACCAAGCAGTGGAATTGCAGCCCAATGACCACGGTGCTCCTCACCTGCCCCAGGGTAATCCCAGCTCACCACAATCCTCAGGCATTAATTCGATACCAGARGGATCAGTGACCAACATTCCACAAGGGTGTGATAATTTCCACGAGAATTTGCTGAATTTCGGTTGCCAGGGCAAAGACAGGACAAAGAGACTGATCAAATTTAGTTGGTGTATTTTAATATCCTGTTGGGTGAGTGGAGGAAATGGATAAATGGGGTTGGCAGCGACAGGAGATAAAGGATGAGCTCTCTGAACACAAATAACTTCCTTCAGAGGAGTGTTGCCTTCTTTTGGGTAAAAAAGGAACTCASTGAGCTCTGCCACCTGAAGCTCTGAGTATTTTCAACCTTGCTGAACATGTTTCACACATCTGGGCTGTAAGAGCTGGAAAAGCAGAAAGCGAGGGGAGCTTGTGGGGCGTCTCAGTTGGGACACAGCAGAACCCTTGGCAGTGTGGAGARGGCACACAAAAGGGCTGTTCCCTCCCAAAAGCTTCCTGTTTGCTCTCAAAAGGCACTCAGGGGGTGCCTGGGGATGAGAAACCTGGGGAGCAGGCACCTCCAGAGCTGAACCCAGCATGGCTAAGGTGGCCCAGCATGGAAAAGGATCCCTTTTCTGTGCAGGATCCTGAGATAGAAAACAACCAGAAAACACGGGAGAATCTGGATAATGAATRAAGCAGCATCCTGGTTTTGGTGGGCACCATCCAGCTCAGCACACATCTGTGCACTATACCCACCTGGTTACCCAAGGGTTCTTCCCTTCCAGCCACAGCTCCCCATGGCTCTCTTTCTCTCCAAGACCCTTCAARCTTGCAGCATTTTGCAGCTGTTTGSTGCATTTCTCCTCCTTGARAAGTTCCTCTTTGACAAAACCAACATCCTAACTTGGCAACTCATGGGAACCACCTTCCTTTTTTTCATCCTGGGCATGCTACCACTGACAGGGAGAGGACCTGCCATGCTAGGCATTCTCTGGACCAGTACCTGTGCTTGCTCTGAAATGAGGTCTGGAAGCTGTCCCTGAAACCTGGCTGTCACCTCTTCCTGGTACCAATGGCCTCAGTTTCTCTGTGTCACTGCCAACAGAGCCTTTCAGAGCATTCCCTCCAGCCACAGCATCAACTTCCTGCTTTTCATCTCACAAATCACAAGAAGTCAAGTGTGAAGCATMAAACCAATTTATTTTAGTTAGTAAAAGGTTTTTTTAGCCTGTTAGTAAAAGATGTGCAAGGACACAACTCCCTCCTGCACCATCTCCTGCCAATGAGGCTTTAAAGTGCTACATAACAGCTGTGAAAATCCCGGCACATCACAGCAGCAATCTGAACATGTGCTTTTCCCAGTCTGAGGTGGTGACAAATCAGCTGTTTCACAAGAGAAATCTGACATGAAAAGGCAAAGCGTACAAGCTGTTGCTTAAATGTATGGAAAAACTTGGGAATAATTTCACAGGCAAATAAAGCATCAGCGAAGAGGGCCTTGGTATGGATGCGGCCGTTTTGGGATCTCCTGGATGTCCCCTGAATTACAAAAAGTGTGGAGAAGGCAAGTGCCCCTTCTTGTTAGGGAATGATAACCGTGTTATCTTTAATGGGAAGAGCAGTCCCCACATTCCCTCTCCTGGCAGAGAGGCCTGAGTGTGTTTAAAAGGACTATCCCTTCGTCCTTCAGCACCAGGCGCTGAGCAAGGAATGAACACTTTGAGCTCTTCTGGAAAGCAGCCCTGACACACCAAAACCAACACCTCCCTCTTGCTACATTGGTTGTCCTTAGTTTTATGGAGGCACTTSTTGGATTTTTGGGCAGAAGGAAAGTGTTAGGAGGGAGGAGCAACCATTCAGGGCTGACAGATCTTTCCCAGTGCAGGCCAAGCTCYGGGCATGATGAGCCCCCGGGGGCTGAGCTCCCTCCTGCTCCCTGCCAGCAGGAAGAGCAGATTTTGGGAAGCTGTGCTAACAGTGGGAATTCAGGATGAGTAAGCTACTGGACACAGCAGGGTGAGGAAAGATATTCTGCTCCTCTGCTCTGCTCAGGTGAGAGCCCACCTGCAGTGCTGTGTCCAGCTCTGCAGCCCCAACATAAGAAGGATGTGTAGCTGCTGGAGTGGGTCTAAAGGAGGCCACAGAGAAACTGAGGGCTGGAGCTCCKCTGCTCTGGAGCCAGGCTAGGAGAACTGACACTGTTCAGCCTGGAGAAGAGAAGGCTCCAGGGAGACCTTAGAGCCCCTTCCTAAAGGGGCTAKGGAGAGCTGGAGAGGGACTTTGGACAAGGACCTGGAGTAACAGAACGAARGGGAATGGCTTMCCACTGTYAGAGGGCAGAATTAGGTGGAATACTGGTAAGAAATTCTTCCCTGTGTGGGTAGTGATACACAGACACAGGTTGTCCAGAGAAGATGTGGCTGCCCCATCCCTGGAAATGTTCAAGGCTAGGTTGGATGGGACTTGGAGCAACCCGGAGCAACACAACTAATCCAGGCTCTTGCTTCTTTACTGCTTTAGTGTATTTTAGAATCACAGAATGGTTTGGGTTGGAAGGGCCATTAAAGATCATCTCATTCCACCACCCTGCCATGSCTAGGGACACCTTCCCCCAGACYACTTTGTTCCAAGGCTTTTAGTCACTGGAAGGTGCTACAAGATCATTCTGGAGCCCAGAGCATCTCAGACTCTGCTATGGCCTCCCTGCAATGTGCAGCTGATCCTGTTTGTGTCCCAGCCTGGGCAGAAGGCTCCTATACCCCTATCCCATAATAGCAACTGGTATCAGGAGAGGCAAGAAGAACTCCATCTATTCTTCCCGCCAAGCTCCAAAAATCCAGCCTAAAAATCAAAGACACCCAACAACCCTTTGTGGGACCAAGTCTGCTTAATGTTGGCATTGCCTGAAACATTCCTCTTAAAGCAGAACCCCCTTTCCCTGTCTGGAGGGAGTAAAATGAGGATGATCCTTGAGAACACTGGTTAGATGCAGCTCTTTCCTGACTCTTATGTTTATCCCCAGCATCAGTGTTCCATGAAGCAAAYCCAGAAGGAGCAGCAGAGCCCATCAAAGGTCCTTGCAGCAGAGTCAGACACTAAGTAAGGCAAACTGAACATGAGACATCCGATGGAGGCTGCTGCACCCACCCTTGGGCACATTTTCAAGCCAAGATGAGCAGAGCCAAGAAAACCACCTCCACTGTTACAGGATACCTGCTAAACCTCTCCTGACTGTGCTGCATATAGGAGGTCACCCTTTGGATCACCAGTATATGTTTCCCTGAGGCCTCCTGGGACCAAACAAAGAAGACATGGAGAATCCCCATGAGGACTTTCTTCTTTGACTCAATGGATCACTTTGGAGCGAGACCTTCTCCTCCATGGGTGTTAAAAGAGAAGGCTACAGCCAAGAAGATGGCTGGGAAATGGGAGGGAACAGACCAAACCCAACAGCATCATGTACCAAGGCCTCTTCCAGCAGAATCTTCCAGAAGGAGATTTAACAATGCCCCTACTGCACCCCCACTACTCTTGAGG